ATTAGAATTTTATATAATTAATATAATAATTAATATAATTAATATAATTAATATTATAAGAATTAGTATATAATTAATATATTATATTAATGTTAATTTAATTCATTTTTTTATATAATTTTTATAATTAAATTCTATTTTTTAAATTTTAAAAGAAATATGATATTTAATATATATTTATAGAATATATAGAATAAATTTGTAATTTATAATTTAATGATTAAAAAAGATATTTATTTAATATTTATATTTTTTAACACTATTTCTTTTTCTATCTTGATTCAATAATTTTAGAAGTTATATTTATTGTATTTAAAGTTATATTTATTGCATAATGTAATGAGTATTGCACTGATAAAAAATAATATTGATTTTATGAGAGCAGAGAATAGTAGTATTCATATGATCATATATATCCAATTTTCAAACTATGATAAATACATCTTATACAGTTTAGAAAATATTTTTCGAGAATTTATATATAATAATAATTTTATGATTTATAGATGATATTATTTTTTGACCAAATAAAAAAATAATTTTATTTACTCTTAAATGATATTTATTTTTAATAATAATAATAATTATTTATATTTATTTTTCAAAATTCAATTAAATTTTATAAAAAAATATTATATTTATTTCAAAAATATAAAAAATGTTTTCTTTAAAGTTGCATTTAAATCTTCCTTATATTTAATAAACTATTGAAAACATTATTTTATTTTATCTTATCTTATGTTATATTATATTAATATATTATATTAATATAACTATTTTATCAAATTATTTATTTAATTGATTTATAAGTTCATGAAAGTAGAATTTTTTGTTAACATAAAATTTAATTTTGAAATGGATTATTATAAACAATAGGATATAAGATATTTGAAATTTTATATTTTACCAAGAACAAAAATTACAGATGATATAATTTTTTCGTTAACCTATAAGAACATTTATTATTTCTAATATTATTATTTCTATGTTTAATGCTTTTTATATTCCGATGAAAAAAATAAATGAAAGTTAATGTTAAAGCTAACTTAATATACATATATAAAATTAACATAATATTATGAAAATCAATCTGAATAAAAGTTAGTATTAATTTTGTGAAAAGTATTCGTATGTTTCATATGATTGAAAACAAATAAAAAATCTATAACCAATCGATTTGTTTGATAGTTCTAGTATTCATATACGTTTTTCAATAATGCCGCGTTTAAATATTATTTCATTACTTGACTTTTAATAGGATAATTGAACTTTTGTCAATCAATTCCATTTGTCAGATTGTAAACTGCTATTATTTAAACGATAAATCGTAAGTGATAAAAAGAACTATTAAACTTTTATTATGTTAGCAATAGCTATACGAATTGTTTCCGATAAATGGATTTTTATTGTAGTATGATAGCTTACCGGAAGTTGTTTTGTCAACTTCCTCAGTTTGAAGTCAGTTGAAGAAATTTTCTAATCGTGAATTTTTCCCTTTTCAATTGAATAAATTTTCGAAATGATGCTTGTTTTTTTTTATTGATCTTGAGCTAAAACATGTATGAAATTAATGTTTTTTATTCGATTTTTTTTTAATTATATACCGATAAATGAAATTTTAATTATTTCAAAATAAAAATAAAGTTTAAAATAGTCATTTCAAAATAGAAAAATTTTTATTGAACTGACTGATGAAATTAATAAATTAAAAAATTAAAAAATGTTTTTGATATGTTAAAATAATAAATTAAAAAATTTCCTATTATTATATTTCTAATATCCTCAGCTAAAAATCTTTTTTTATTTATTTTTGAAATCACGTAATCTCTATTTGAAGAATAGAGAATATTTGTTTAAAAATAAAATATTCTTTTTTAAATAAAATATAGTAAGAAACATCTATTTTGAAAATTTTCTTTTAGTGTAGATTAAAATTAAAAACAAATAAAAAAAAAGAGAAATATCTTTGTTTCTTGCAAAATGATAATCCTTTTATAAGAAGAATTGCAAATTGTATACTTTGAATTTTTAAAAAGTTATATATTATATATTATATATTATATATTACAAATTATATACAAATTATATATTATATATTATATATATAAGATTAGTGCATATTATGAAATATAATATATTGTTTCTTCAAATTTTTTTGAAATCATATATTTAATTATGAAATAAATTCTACAATTCTACTTTTCTAAATAATTAATTAGTTCTATTATTTCATATTCATAAGAATTATTCAATCAATAATCTAATAAATTTTTTTGTAAATTATACAATATTGCAATTCATATATTTTCTTTATGTTCTAATGTAATTTTAAAATAATTTATCAAGTATAAATTATATAATTAAAATAAAAAATATCTTTAATCTTTTAATATTTTTTACATAAATTTTCAATAACCTCTCGTATTTAATTTTTAAAATATAAAATCATTGAAATATTTTAATTATTCATCAACATTCATTTATAATTGATTTACTATTATTTTTTGAAATAAATTTCACTATATTCGATATATGTAATTTACAGCAAATTTCTTCATAATATAGTGATATTTGTCAAATTTAATAGATAATATCAGTCTATTAATTTCAAATTTTAAAGAAATATTTCATATGCACCAACCTAATATATAATCACTTTTTCATATTTGAAGACCAATCATTTTGCCATGAAATTGAAATTTACAAAGCGTGAATGACAACTAATATTTTTAGCCTGTTCATTAGATCAGGCTTCGGATAAGATACGAATCTTGATTTAGGGCCAACATTAAGCGCGATCTGAACACCGTATAAAACGAAAACGACGTTGCGATGCTCATTGACTCTAGATTGTTCTCGGAGTGATTGCCTTTTTCTCGCGAAAAACGTCATTCATTGTCTTTTAAGGAAAACAGGAAACAAGATCTGACGAAGGAACGTGAATTTTACGTGACTTGCCTCCTGCGGCTTCAGCCGTTAAAAAAAAAAATAAGGACAGAGACCCGATTCGAATCAATGGACAGTTTCCAATTTGTAAGCTTATATAATTAATTCGTGAATCACATTGGATTTTATTTTCTATATATGATCACGTTGTTTCTTTATAATTATTTGATCTATTATCAGTTTACACATAGATTGATTAAGATGGATATGGTCTTTGTGTTTTGATTAAAATTAAAAGTAACACAGATTTCATTTTCGTATCTGGGGTTAGTTCGTTGTTATACGGCGCAAGCGCTATACAATAAAATACGTTACCCGCATTGAGTGTACTCGGTAAGCTGGATAAAATGGGTGCACGTTTAATACAGTGTCTATTTTATCGTTTTATTGCGAGAAATACATTGATGTTAAATAGTGTAATAAAAGGTCAAAACAATCACGGTTATTTTTATCATAAACGACAGGTATGTCAATTAGAGGTCACGTGTAAAAAATCAAAATAATATCCTTTTTTTTAATATCATTAATCTCATTAATTCACTGATTGTGATTTTCCCTCCTCCATAACACGATTGGCGCAGGTTCAATCAAATCACGTGGCCTTGTGCATGGAGTAATCACAATTACATCTAGTTATCGACGTGCCCTCATCAAATTCTCTTGTGCTAAAGAGCTCAATATACCTTCAATGATCACAAAATATAATGCATGGTACAACACTGCTTTTTTCTTTTTTGTTGTTTTTTTTTTTGCAAAAATCATTATAAGTTTTGATATAAAGTTTCAAATTAAAAAACAAGTTGCAAATATAAAACATCGTCAAAATTTATAACATAATTAAAATGGTTACAGCATTCCTATAGAGAGTTATGGACAATCGCAGCTAATTTGATCCCTTCTGCAGTAATGAAATGCTACGTCCAAAAGCAATCTAAATTCATTGATCCGATAATAGGGGTGAGTTAAATTTGTTATATATTTGAAAACATCCTTTGTTATTTTTAATTTTCGCGGTTTTTTTTTTATTTATCTTGTATAGACACTAGTCTGTATCCATCTTTTACCGATAATATTATTATCTTATCAATGAGGTAAGTAGTTACTCTTTTCTATATACTTGGGTGTGGTGCCACCTATCATAATATACAGAGGTCATCAACTAGTCACTCAGAATTTATATGATTACTTCAGAGCTTCGTGAACATCATCATGAACTTATATTCATTTAAAATTTGAGTATGTTTTGGAATTTAATGACTTTAATAAAATGTGGTGTTCTACGAGTAATTACTAACCTAATTTGGGGACAGGTATGTAAAGTTTCTTTAATAAAATAAACGTAACATACGTATAATCTATAATAAAGGTAAGTTTATTTTTTTAAGATGTTATTTTATACTTTTTTGCTATAGAAATATTAATTTTACTTTGCATTGGTAATATTTGCATAATAATTTAATGATAGAATAATATTTTTATGGATTTTAATTCATTGCACGTTTTCCTCGTGCTACTTATAAGCGAGGTTATCAAATGAGTATATCATACATGTCATTTAACTTCTATTTAATTAAAATATTTTATTTCATTATTAATATCAATTTTATCATAAATATTTATTTGCATTATTATAGTAGTATTTAATTATTTAAAAATAGAATTAATAAAGTATTTTATACATATATATACATATTCAAAGTAAAATATGTCTTTTTTCAATATTATTTATTTAAAATTTGGTTAAAATATAAAATAAATTAATAATATTGTAGTTAATATTGTGATAATTATTTTTTAGTTATAATTCTATTTCAATCCATTTGTGAAAGATTATATACTAATTATAAATGAAAACTATTTATTTTTCATACACATTTCAATGATTTTAGATTTAAAAATATTTTCTTTTTATTAAAAAAGAAATTTTTAATGAATATTTATTATTGTTTTTATAATAGTGTAGCCGGTATAATTTACATACATATGTATCCATCTTTTTGTATCTGCCGGAAGTATATATATTTGAGGTTTAGTAAGCTAAGTTCGTGCATAGTCGGTTCAGTTCGTAGATAGTCGGTTTTACGATTCTGTACGAATATAGTCGAATGCCATTCGCCAATCGCATCGATCCAATATCCACATCGTTGTCACATACAACAGTGTTGTACGTAGCACATCATTACGCTCTTTAAGTATTTTGTGTTTGCAAGTATTTTGGGACCAACCGAACTTGACTTCTTTCTTAAATGTAAGTTCCATTATTGTAATATTATCATAATATATTAAATTTGGATTATTCAAAATGTCTAGCAGAAATTGTGCATGTGTTACGTTCACTGGTACTTGATGCTTCTCTACCTCCAAGATGGCCGCCGTTTCATGAAAGTTCCCTTATGGCGTATGCTTTGCGGTTTGTCTCTCCACTTGTAAATTTTGTCGCTTTCATTTCGTCATGGTTATTAAATATATATGCATTGTACATTATCATGATGCAAAATCTATTCTTTGAGAATATTAGTGTATAAGTTCGATGTTTCGTCTTAAAAAGCGAGTATTTCGTTGGCATTGATTTTGGTAGTGAGCGTGCCCACGCGTATTCATTACTTCATTCTTATTTCATTTCCCTATATTTTATTGCATCTGTCACCATGCATATTATATTATCGTTCCAATTGTCTTCTCTTTGATATTCTTCGGATAATATATAATCCAGTGATTTTGGCGGGATTTTCATTTTCACATGAAAAATAACTCCCTTGGATTTCATGTGAAATTGTATTATACTCTGAACAGAGATTCTCACAAATAATAGGTATAATTTCTTATCTTTTCGGAGTGGGCTGTTTTTCTTGTAGTGCTTAGTATAGTTTTACGATGCAACTGCCCACATTTTGCAGAATTTTTTGAGCTGATGTCTGCGTCGTTGTCAAAAAATCCTGTCATACCACAAGCATCATCTTCACGTTCCTGGATATCATCAATCCTCAGATTCATTCGGGATCAAGTGAGCTTATTTCGTCTTCCTAATGTAAGTACATGTAGTGTGGTTTCATTAAAAAAGCTCTGATCCTAATATTTTTCCAACATTTGTAATATTATTATCTATATATTGTATACAGCTGAGATTTATAATTTTTTTCTGTCAACATGCTGACCATGTCATATTGATAATGATGTGAAGTCAATTACAAAAATTTCTGTTATTATGGATCATTTAGGATTTATAGTTAGATGTCATTTTTTTTATTTCTTTCTGTTTCATTTTACATTTATTTCTTATTTCAATTAATTATAATATGTTAATTATAAATACTAATAAATAAATGTTAAATAACATTTGTTTGTATATATTTATAAAATGAGATGTATTCAATACCAGTGAATTTTTATGAATATTTTAATGAATTATTTGACTTTTTAATAAATAATAATAATAAATAAAGAATACAAATAAATTATATATAAATAATGATACAATAATTATTCTTTATACATACATATATACATACATATATACACATATATTTATCATTTTTATATTTATAAATTTTAAAATAAAGAATATATTATAAATTTATTAATATTATTTATATTAATATTATTTTTTATCATTATATCTTGAGCACTATAAAACATTTCTAATTATATATGTTTTGAAGAAAATTTAAAAAATTTTTTTTGAAATAGTGATTATGAATCATAATATTAAATTAAAATTCTTTTTCATATGAAGAAATTGATAAAAAAATAAAAATAATATAATTTAATATTGTTACATTCATTAAAGAAAATATGTTCTTTAACAAGAAATTTAAACAAAATATTTTATTATAAGATTAAAAGTAATATAAAAATTATTTTCACGAATGTAATCTTCTCTAATTAGACAAGTATTTGATTTTTTCTAAGTGTCTGATTTATATATTTATATATAAATCATATAAATATATAAATATATTTATATATTTTAAATAATACAGATTAATTTGTTTCAGATGCCACGAAGCAGGAGGCGTCACCGTACTCGCAGCCATTCAAGAGCACGTTCAAATTCTGGAGGCTCTCTTCAATATGAACACAAGAGACGCCGCATAGATTATGAAAGTCCAAGGAGTAAAGGAACATATAGGTGAGTAATAAAACTAACATTTATTCCATAATCTATATTAATATACATCTGATTGAAAATTCAGATGATTATTTTTTGATTTTATATATAATAATCAAAAAATATATTGTATATCATTATTAATATTCTATGCAATTTTAATTCTGTTCAATGCATAATAATGTTTGATAGTGACATATCTAAAACATATGCAAATCAATTAATAATCACTGTAAAATATTGATTTTTAATAAATTATCAATTAATATATTTTGAAATTAGAACAATCACAAGTGTCAAAGTATACTTACTATTACAAATGTTTCAAAAAGAAGACTAAGATTATTGAGAATGATTTTTGTAAGACTTGCGCAAAAAACATTAAGAAAGAATATCGGAGTGGGGAATAAGTGGAACTACAGCATACGAAACCAATGCCACGAAGGCGTCTCCCACTCCTTAATGCGTCTAGTATGAACCGAGAAGACGATAGAAATTCTCCATGAGATCTTTATGGCTGTCAGCCAGTCGTGATCGGTGCGTTCGAGCTTTATTGTCGCCCGGGAAAATCTTGACTTCAAGATTTACCGGACATAATTGATTGAGTACAGGAAATAGTCTTTGGCTATTATCTGAAAAAGCGTTTCGAAAAATATACGTGAGTGCTGATGTGGGTTTTATCTGAAATGATTTCATTGGGAAAAAGTTGCAAACGTGCGAAAGGTATAAATGAATCGAGGTACATGTGAGGATTTATTAGGTTTTGGAAATTAGATATGTGTGCAGTTTAAAATAAATATTTTATTTTGATGTTTGTAATTTCCCGCGTAATTTGATATTTATAATTATTTCTTGGAAATATATAGATAGGAATTGGAGATAGTAATGTAATAATATTGCTTTTTTTTTTTTGGCTGATCTCGTATTTTATGTATTGTTTTTGATAATGATTCGCTATTATTTTCAGAAAAAGCTAATTATCTACTGAAAGCTAATTATCAGTTTTGTCTGACCATTTATATGCATTATAATTTATGAATCATAATGAATCGTGAACAATAATTGTTGTATGTTTTTTGTGGATTCTGTTTATTTAAATCTGTGCAAGATTTTTTGTTTTGCGTGTTTCTAATTACTTTTAAATAAAGTTTACTTTGTGAAGAAATATTTATTTGTTAAGGAATAGAAAATATTGAAGGTTAATAAATTGCCTGTATGCTAGTAGAATTTTTTTATGATCAAATTAGATTATCAGATTAGATTAGAGTATATAGATTATAGTATAAAACAGAATAATCAAAGAATATAATTTGATTTCAAGAAGAATTAAAGAAATTTAGAATGTTTGAAAAATCTATTTC